TCGGTGTGCGGTGCAACGAACTCTCCCGCGATCGAACCGACCGAGAGATCTCGCTTGGATCGCCGCCTAGATCGCGGGCCGAGCCCCTCTCGATCGAGGACGGCTCCGCCGATCCAGAATTACGATCCTAGCGTCCTCGTTGACACGACCGAACAGCGAATCTTCGTGCAAATATATCGCTCGAACGAACATAGAAAAAGGAAGAAAAAAAAACAATATCGACGGAGAAATTGGTGCGCGGCTCGCGGAAACGTCGACACGATTTTCGCGGGTAGATCGGCCGGGTCCACGGATGACCCGGCGATCGCGTGAACACCGCGACGCGATGTGAACCGCGCGCGTGTGTGATGCGATGATGCGAAGATCGTGAGTGACTCTAGGGAGCGTCGAATTCGAAGAGAGATACAGACAGACAGTCGGAGAGTGATAGAGAGAAAGAGAGAGAGAGAGACAGAGAGACAGAGAGAGAGATAGAGAGAGAGAGAAATATCGTGTGATCGGATGACTTCGTTGATCGACGTAGAAAAACGTGCTCTGCCCTCTCCAGTCCGGGTATACAGATATACATACGTATACAGTATAATTATAATATAGAGCGTATAATATGTATATATCGTGGAGAAAAAGAAACGTTTACAGAACAATTACGATTTACTTGGCAATAAACTCTACGCGAGCGGGGAAGCCAACGTAAACAACAATCTCTGCGTCGCCCGCTCCGGATGGGAACGTGTGGCGTGTCCCGTTCGCCGCCGATTCCAACCCGAAACAAGAGAATCGTGTACCATACAACAAAACCGAAACAAACAAACCAACAAACAAACGAACGAAGAAACAAATGAACGAACAAAAAGGTATCGTATCAAATATACAACGCGAGCGAGAGACAACGGATGAAAAAAACCGAACGTTTAAAGGAACGCAACAACAGAAAAACGGAAAAATCGTAAGCAATTAGAAAGCGAACAAATCGCCGAACACAAATATATATATACGTGTGTGGTTAATAAAGCCAATTCAATAAAGTTTATCGTTCGACAAATACTGCGATGCTTTAAGAGAACGGTAATGTGTGTGCCCACGGGGCCCCGCTCAGTTCTCCTCTCCTTCACTCCTTCCGTTTCACCGGGTCGTGCCTCTGGTATCAGCGAACATGGCCGCGTCCGACGATCATAACTCATCTTGCCCACGCGAACACCGTGCGAAAGCCCGCGAAAATCCGAGCAGGAAGCGACCGGGCCGTCGCCGTATTCGTAAATCCGCCGCGCGAGATACGGCCCTGGACGCCGCGCAGTGCCGGACCAAAATAATTAAGCGCGGCTTCATTCGATACGTTCGAACGTTTTCTGCGATTCGGGGAAGAGGCGATACTTTTCTGGCAACGTGTAGATTTTTTTCTATATTTTTCTACATTTTTCTACATTTTTCTACATTTTTCTACATTTTTCTATATTTTTCTATATTTTTCTATATTTTTCTAATCATTTTTCTCTTGCAATCTTTTTCTTTATTTTCCTTTTTTCCGTCTGATAAAATTTCTCATTTGTTATTTGTATTTACTATATTATTGTTTTTCATTATATCGTTTTTTTGTTATATTCTTTTCTCTCATTTATTATAGTTTCTTGTATTGTACACGTTTACTGTATTTACTATGCAAGGTATCTCAAAATTATAATACTTCCGGGAAATGGGAGCTTCCTGAGGTCATTCGGAGTAACTTTTTCCTTTACAAAAATGTTCTCCGAGGCATCGTTCGCGAGTTATTCACGAAAAACAGTGACCAATGAGCGGCGGGCTTTGCTGGCGCACGGCGGACGAGTGGGCGGAGCTCAGTTCCGCTTATTGACTCGGTCATCTCGCGGCAGCCGATCTCGCCTCTCATTGGTCACCGTTTTTCGCGAATAACTCGTGAACGATGCCTCAGAGAACATTTTTGTAAAGGAAGAAGTTACTTCGAATGACCTCAGGACTCGTTTCCGGAAGAAAGAAACGGAAGAAATGACCCTCGTTTCCGGAAGTACCATAATTTTGGCCCACCCCGCACACTTATTACGTACGCTACGCTTTTTCATACTTCTCTGGTAAAATATATGTTCTAAAAAAATAACTCATAATAAAAACAGAGAGATCCTACCAAAAGTAATTTGAACAAAAAGCGAGAGAGATTTTATATAGCCGTCATACGGTTACGATAAAACGATCCGTTTTTGTATTGTGCTCGTGTGACGGCTAAATAAAACATTTCTCTCGTTTTATTTCTTCTTCTGCAACAATGGTTCATTTTTAGCCGTGTACACGAAATAAAAATAAAAATCGTGCGAAATGAAAATTTGACAGAAAATCGTCAGCAAAAACACGATTATAGAATTATGGCGTGAATCTGTGCTTTTAAAAATAACCAGCCGTTTTTTGACTGGTTTGCTAATTCGAGCGTCAATGAATCATACGAAAGTCCGAATTAATTGCCAAAAATTGTGCAGTTTTACAATTTTACAGTTTTACAATTTATATTATTATTATTATTATTGTTTTACAGTTATTAAACAATATTTATCCTCACCCTACGCCTTTCAACGGAAATCTTCGAAACGTTCTTCCCGGAATCGCAGAAAACATTCGAAAAACCCCCCTCGGCGTTCTCGCCATTTCGGTCTCGGCAGTATTTCGCGTGCGGGGGTGGCGATGCGTTCGAATAACAAATTAAAACGGCCAGCAGCAGATTGCTCGGCCGAAATCGGCCGTGCGCGGTCGGTTCATCGCGGCCGGGAACCACCCCCGGCGGTTTCTCCTTTTCATTTCGCCGGCCGAACGTTGCGTAATCGGGAAACTGGAGCGTGAAACCTGTCGGCGGGGGGTAGAAGCGTCCGGAGAAAGGGTCCGCCTAACGGATGAATGGTGCTCTCGTGCGAGCGAGCCACGCGATCGAATCTTCCGCCCCCGGAGAGCCGCCCCCGCGAGCCACTCCCGGCGACGCTGCTCTTTTTATCGTTTCCTCTGACAACGACAGACACGGTCACTGGCCGGCACTGCGCGATCCCCCGGCGACGACGTTATCCGGTTGCTACCCCCTGCCCGGAAAGTATCCAATCGCGAACGGGATCGCCTCGAAACTCTCCCGTGGACCTGTCGCGATGGAAAACTGCGACAACAACCGTGAAACCTGCCCGGAAATATTTCGGGACCTCTCGGTTGTTTCTCCGCGCGAAACTCGGGATATTTCGAGGGGGTTGCGAAAATAAAGTTGCAGGAAAGCAAAATTTTGTGGAACTGTCTTTTGTACAACTGACTTTCTTGTCAGAAAGGAAGAGAATTGTATAATTGATATAATAATATATTATATATTTCTTTCTGATGTATAATAATAAATATTATTGATTTTCACCCCGGAATGAATATCGAGAAAGTAATCGAGACGTACTGCTTGGCTTTTTGATCTGAATTTTATTAAATAAAATTGCTCTTTAATTTTATGAAATTTGTTGGTTGACGAATGAATTTTTACGCTAATTTGTTGTATTTTTTTTTGGATTGATTGAGATCCGAAGAACGTGTGAATTTCAAAAGAATAATCGATGTCGTATAACTTGACTTTTGACTTTTAATTTCATGAAATGAAATTGTCTTTCAATTTTACAAAATTTGTTGATTGTTCAGTGAATTTTTACGTTAGTTTGTTATATTTTTCTAAGTTGAGTAAGATCCAAAGAACGTACGAATATCGAAAAAGTAATCGATGTCGTGCAACCTGAATTTTCAATTTTAATTTCCCTAGATAAAATCGTACTTCAATTTTACAAAATTTGTTGATCGTTCAGTGAACTTTTATGCTGATCTGTTATATTTTTCCAAGTTAATTAAGATCCAAAGAACGTGTGAATATCGAAAAAGTAATCGATGTCGTGCAACCTGAATTTTCAATTTTAATTTCCCTAGATAAAATCGTACTTCAATTTTACAAAATTTGTTGATCGTTCAGTGAACTTTTATGCTGATCTGTTATATTTTTCCAAGTTAATTAAGATCCAAAGAACGTGTGAATATCGCAAATGTAATCGATATTTGATTCGATTGACTTTTCAATTTTAATTGCATGAAATAAAATTGTATTCCAACTTCACAAAATGTATCGACTATTCAGTGAATTTTTACGCTAATCTGTTACACCTTTCCGAATCGATTAGGCTTCGCAGAACGCGCGAATAACGCGAAAACATCCTACATCGTACAACTTGATTTTCCACCCTTGACTTCGACAAATAAAATTGAACTCCGATCGAACGAAATTATTCCGACGAATTTCCACGTTTTTCCAATTCGAACTCGATTAAACAAAAATCGTTCCCCAACATCCCGGACTGTTCGTGGTCGTTAGCCTAACGGTCGAATCGTAAAACGAACGAAGCAGCCCCGATGAACATGAACAAGAAATGAACATCAACGGCGCGGGAAATTTCGTTGAAACGCGAAGAATAATAATTCTTTCCGGGGATCATTAAAAAGGCACCAACGCGATCGCGAAACCGGTGCAATTACAAAACCCGTGTAATTAAAAAAAAAAGAGCCGCGCTCTCTCTGTTCGAGCACCGTGTTATTCAAGGGTTGTCAGCGTTTCCATCGCGGTCGGTCGCAGAGTTCCATGGAAAATCAGCCCGGGCCGAATTCGTCAAACGACATCAAACGACTCCGTTCGCGAAGATAGAGTGCCGCGTTCCGGGAACGGAATTGCACTTCGGCACAATTCCGGCGTGTTTATTTGGGCCGCTAAATAACCGAGAACGGCTCGTTTCTGCGAGCTGTTCGGTGAATGAATCGTTCGAGAAACGGCGCGGCGCGGCGCGGAGCGAAGCGGTGCGGCGCGTAGCGGAACGGTGCGGAGCGGAGCGGCGTTTGTATCGCTGATACCAGAAACGCGACGCCGCCTCGAGCGGGGCCCACGTATTTAACTCACGGATATAGAGAGCAGAGGGTGTCGTCCGATATCGTACCGTGTCGCCTACCTTCTTCTCCCATTGGAGAACGTAGGGCACTGGGTGCTCACCGGGGAACTCTACGTGACAGTTGAAGACAACGCTCTCCCCCCGGAGTGCCGTGATGTGCACCGCGTCCTGGTGGCAGAGACCTGCAACAACGCAAATGAAAGGAACGCTTTAGTCGAACCAGCGAAATTATTATTTCGTCCTTTTGTGCGGCGCGCGCGCGCGCGCGAGTTCGCTCGACCATAAGCAGAGAATTCGGAGCTTTGCCGGCAAGGGAAAAGGCAATTTCCAAACTGCTGCGACGCGGAGAAACGTCGCTGCTTTTTGGCGATGTGCTCGACCGTTTTCTACCTTCGGAATCGGAAGCGAGACACGCTTCCGAACTTTTCGCGAGATGTTTCTGTTGTGAATGTGGAATTAAACGGCGGTGAAATTAATTGTTAAATCGGGGACAGGGTGATCTCTCTCTCTCTCTCTCTCTCTTTTTAGATTGATGTGTACCGAGATACTGGTGGACATTTATGTAATTGTTTGCACATTTTACACATAAATAAATGTGGTTCAAAATGCAGTAATGTCTCTCTAATTGACGCCCAGACTGACCACAAAAATGGACAATTTGGGAAGAGGAGATACGATTATTCGAGCCTTGCGGTTTATTGTTATAGTTATAAATTGTCCACAATTATAAAAACGAGCCGCAAGGCTCGAATAATCGTATCTCTTCTTCTCAAATTATTCATTTTAGTGGACAATCTGAGCGTCAGTAAGGGAGACATTACTGTACAGTGTTCGCACACCTTCTAAAGCGTAATAACTTTTTTAAAAGTCAACTGAAAGACTTGAATTTTTTTTAAGATAGGAATAGTGTACTTGACGATGACTAAAGTGCCTTTTTTTTAAATTTTGCTATTACTTGGGATGATCGAAAAAGATAAAAATACTCTCTTAACTTCTTTATCTGAGCCTGTAACGAAAATGAAATAAAAATGCCTTTCGTAGATCTCGGTAATTTAGTCATTTAGTCACAGTTTTAGGAAAGTTATTTTTAGTTTTAAAAGGCACGAGAAACACTTTTGTGTGGGTCACTGTACATCGTGCTGGGTCCCAATTTGATCAGAAAAATCTCACCATTGTACTAAATAAATTTGTACCTCATTTTTCTCTAAATTCTGGATGTAAATGATGACGAAAATTTTTTCATAAAGATCTGCAGTAGGCTAACGCCTAATTCGATCAGATTACGTTCATTAGTCAAATTTCGCCGAACGTGCCAACTTTGTCAACTCTGTATCGCAGATTTTTATGACAGCAGAACGGTCGCAGAAAGACAAGATCGATTTTCCGAAATTCTCGAGCGGTCACGGCCCTCTCGCAGCCAAGTCTCTCTCCTCCTCTCTCTCTCTTTCTCTCTCTCTCTCTCTCTCTCTCTCTCTCTCTCTCTTTCTGTGCGCGTTTGAGCGCCGCGCCGCGCGTCAAAGGCCAGGGAATATTCTAGAGAAACGGCGTAAAAATCGCCATGAGACCCATTCGAATAATGGATCCGACTTTGATACCGGCGCTCCCTTTGAACTCGCGACGTGTTTCCGCGACGCGTTTCACCGCGACAAACGGTTCACCGATAAATCCTCCTGTGTCTGGCCGTTCCGCGGATCAAGGCGAACATTCCGCGATGACAGCGGATATTGCACGGATATTCTCATCGATATATAATGTACACGCGGAGAACACCACCGCCGCCGGTGAAATTTTACGGAAATTCCTTTAAATAACTGCGGTCGGGGGGGATCGCGTTCCGTCCTCGGTCCATTCGTCCGTATGGAACTGCAAACTGTTCCCCTTTTTCCGGAGCTGCGAGCCCGCCTGTGATCAAAGACAGACTCTTCGTAGGTAGAACATTCCTTCCGCCGCGGATTTCAACGATAAGAAGACTGCGGATTTGATGCGTTTACGACGGATCGGACGGAGAAGAAAATAATAGATGCGCGGAGAGGAATCGAACGTTTTCTCGAGATGTTGAAACTGTTGAGATTCGAACGGCAATGATTATTTAATTTCTGCTTGGTGTAATTGACAGAGATGATTTTTATTTTGCACGGACGTCCAGTTTGAGAATGAGAAAACAAGATTTTATGCATTTATGACAGAGTGCATAGAAAATAAAATAATAGATGCAATAGATTTTCGAGATGTTGAAACTGTTGAAATTCGCGAACGCCAATGATTATTTAATTCCTGCTTGTTGCAATCGGGGAGGACAATTTTTATTTCATTATTTAAACATCCGCTATGACATCCTATGCATTTATGATAGAGTGGATGGAAAATAAAATAATAAATGCATGAACGATATTGCACTGTTATTTTGAAACTATTGAAATTGTTCAAACGTGAACATAGATGTTTATTTAAGTCATGCTTGTTGCAATTGTGGAAGACAATTTTTATCTTGCATGAACGTCCGGTCTGAGAATAAGAAGACAGTGGATTTTATGCATTTATTACGAAGTTGGTGCAATTTTCTGTGATGGAAAGACGAAAAGAATTTAAGTGCCTCTAGAAATTCAGACTTTTATGATAATTATATAACATAAAAAATATAAAAATACGCGTGTAATATGAAAATACAATAAATAACATAGAAATACAGTAAATTCTCCCGAAATTTCCTTCACATTTAAACAAAAATTGACAATTTGTAAAGAATAGATACAATTATTTAAGCCTTACACCTTGTTTTTATAATTGTTAACAATCTATAACGATAAAAATAGACCCCGAGACTCGAATAATCATACCTCCTCTTTCTAAATTCTCCATTTTTGTTCACAAAGAAAATTGGGGAGAATTTACACAGGTAAAATACATGTAAAAATACGCGTGCATTAAAAATTACACGGTTTCTTAAAAATTACCCGGGTTCTTTACAATCCCGGCTCTTTAACCGTAACTGTTAATTACACCCGCGCTTAAATACAAGCAGGACAGGTCCTAGTTTCCGCCCCGGGAGACCGATTGATCCAGGAGCCCGAAGATCTAACGAAGAACTATGCGCCCCCTAAATCCGTGAATCGGTGGTTGTGGCCGGTCCCCGCGGAGGCGCCGGAGTCGTTAACATTTCTAACGACGCCCTAATGAAATTATTGACATCCTGCGGAGGCGTTCACCCCGTCGAGGGCCCAGCTCGCCGAGGCGGCGCGGCGGCGTACGCACCGCGCATAATAATTCGGCGCGGTGAGGAACGCCCAACGCGGGTTCCCGGTCCCATTATCGTGATTACCGAGTCCTAGCCCGGGGAGTGGCCCGGTCTACGGAACAACTGTTTTTATTGTCAGCCATTGTTCA